GAAGAAATGTTTTTTATCCTAAATTAAAGTTAGGAAAAGGTTTTATTTTTGCTCTCTGCCAGGGACTTTGACCAATTGAATAACTCAAAAACTACCGAGTTGATGTAGTGTGGAAGCACTGATTTTGTGAGCCTAAATGTTTTGAACTACCGATCGGGTTAACCCACAAGTGGCTGACTGTATTACAGTAAGCTCGATAGCCAGACATGTTTATATTTGCAGCACTGTCAAATCCATCCCTTACACTTCTGTTGTGTTTTTGTGTTTGGGAAAGCTACGAAAAGAGACATCACCCATCAGAGTCTTCAAATGCTGCGTATCGCTCTACAGCACACTGCTTCAGTATATGCAGAAATCCAAAGCTTTACCGACCAGTTGTACCTAGTTACAATTGCCAGTGCTAAGATAATTAGCATTGGGTGTAGCAAACAGTCAGTTTTGTTACTGTTTTAGTTCCCACCTCTCAGATGAAAGCCTTCTATGTTCAAATTGCCAAATTTTACAAAGAAAAAATACGTATTTTGGCTTCCCTGGTATTATCCAAAGGGTTTAGAGTGATTTTTATGAGCCTGGGAAGTTGGAAAAAATTTCCCCCATAATTAAAGGAGTGTGTAATTCTTCAGTTCATTTCAAAGCGTGAAAGTCACCGGAATTACAGATGCAAGGTTTCCACCTAACAACACTCTCATAATACAGGAGAGTGTTACTCAACTGTTGTTCCTGCTGTTGAGAAGCTGCAGTGTCATCTAGCTCCTGGGCTACATGTGTCTTCATAAATTGATTGACTTTAACATTCTCATCATGTATCTGCCTGATTTCTACAGTTTTCTGGCAAAAAAAGTGCACTCCCACCAGAAGGAAAATCATTCAGACGTGTCGCAGTCCAGCTCTGTGGCAGAGATATGAATGTGTGTTTGGTTTGCTTGTATGGTTCTGATTAGGTCTGAAGTCTTCATGTTCTGCCTCCATCCAGAAGCGTCCCTCTCCACCCTCCTCCTCCTCCTCTTCTTCTCCCAAGAGAACAGTGGGAAGATTCAGGCTCTTTACAGGAAGGGGAGGAATGAAGGGCTGAGATAGAAAAAGATGAATAGAGAGAGAAAGACATGTACTGTGAGTAGTGTCTCAGTGGTATTTAAACATGCACACTATGATTAGAACAATAAATAGGACTGATAATGGTCAATCAGATAATGGTCAATCAATCCTGGCTTTTGTCAAAGGGGCGATTAAATAATAAGAAAATAATGTTGATTTTTTTTTTTTTTTTTTTTGAATATTCTTTATATTCCCAGGCTACTGAATGTCTGCTCCATAAAAACAAAAATTCTTATATATTTAGTTTGCTCGAGATCTGATTCTTTTATATTTGATTGATTTATGTTCAGTTCCAGCATTTATAATCTCATTAATTATATTTTCGCCCTAAAAAGCATACAGAGGACATCGCTCTGGTTTGTCACCTTCAGTAGTGTCTGTAGTTCTTTTACTAATTGGATGATTAGGACAGTCAACCTAAGAGGCAAAACCAAGGTTAAAATAAATACATCAAAGCGCTCATTACTGCTTGTAAGGCTTTTTATCAACTCTCAGACCCTCTCTAATCTGGAGTGTGGCAGGTGGACAGTAAGAAGACAATACTCCCGATTCAGGGGCGAGAACGTAGACCACGAAGGCCGAACCGAAATGAGACGTTCTGGCCTATAGAGGATTTCCACTTTCCATCACCAGCTGTCCACGCACTTACTGTTTTATCACAAAGCGGCACTCATGTCGCCTAGCAAGATTGACAACACCTAACTTTTTCTTCTTTTTTTTTTTTTTTAAGGCCCTTGGTTGCATCCTTTGTAGGCTGCATTTGAACACTTGTACCGTTAGCTGTTCAACTGAGCTCAAGTGTAAACCTCGGGCTCTCTGTCAGCGTTGTTTGCTGCCATATTATTCTCATTACTGGCTCGCAGTGAATCTTGGGATAGGTTGGGCCACAGAGAATCCACCTGTTGGTCCCAAGGAGAGAAGTTTGCATTTCTCTGCCGCATTCGAATGAACGTTCGGAATGGGAACGCCTCGTCGCGCCACCGTGACTCAGTTGGTCTTCATATGCCGCCTCCAAAGGATTCAGCCCCTGAACTGTGACACAGCAAATTAGATTGTAGTTTTAGTAAATCCACGGGAAGTTGATCACACAATACTGAACTATAGCCAACCAACACATACATACGTGAAGACTGAATGGATATAATTAGTGCACCTTAAGCTGACATTGAAAAGCAGGAACCTAAGGGGCCGATCTGATAGTCTGAAGGTCGGTGCGGCCTCACAGCAAAGTCCTAGAGTCAAAGCCTGGTGCTTTCCATGTCCTGAAACAGAACTAAGCAGGTATAGAAAATGAATATTAAGCAGATGTCAAGTGTGTGGAAAGGCTTCCAGTTTAACTTCATTTTGATGAGTGAGCAAATAGTTTAAACATCTGTTTCAGGTAATTGAGTATTCAAATACTCATCCCCGTGTGTGCACTGTTCTATAACTCTGTTTGCTCGTCTCTCTTTCAGTCTTATGTTTCTTTTACAACACTGTCTGAAAAAAAGAGCAGCAGGAGGCTGAAAAAACATCTAATTTCTGGTTTTAATTTACTGGCTTTCTGCAAGAATATGATACAAATATGTGCAGATATGACAGTATAATGTTATGGTAGATATTAAATTATGATGGGCTGGTGAGTGCAAATAACTTGACTGTGTAATGAGAGTTAAATGGTACACATTTAAAGTTTATGATGGTCTGATGAGACTAATATCCTGTCTAGATAATGTGTCTGGCTTTACTCCCCAGCACTTTGTCAACAGTCTCAGTCAGCACGCGTGTCTTCACACCGAGGACACGTCCAGATTAGTGTGTGTGTGTCTGTGTGTGTGTTTACCTCTCTTTTTCATTTCCTCTCTGCCCTCTGAGAGGTGATAAATCAAGTCAATTATACAAGTGCAGCTGCTGCATAGTTTGAGGAATACAAGATGTGCTGTGTTTCCATGAAGCTTCTGCTTATACAAAAGAAAGTCATGACACACACACACACACACACACACACACACACACACACACACACATGCACACTTAATTCTCATTATACTGCAGGTAAATTCTTGTTTGCAAGTGCATGACTGTAATGCCCCTGAGCAAGGCACTCCAAGCCTTGATCTAGCTACCTCTTCAAGTAGCATTAATTTAATAGTTATTATAGTTTATTGTTAAACACATATTAGCCTGATATAAATTGTATTACAATCAGTTACAAATACAGCAAGTGGTGGCATGATGCTGTCTTAAACAGCATTCCTATTCCCATCCGTTTCCGGCCTGTTACCGTTAACAACAGCCACTGAGCTAGCAACACTGAAAATGGCAGGTTTTGACTAAGCTTTGGATTGCAATGACAGCGATCGCCTGTCCATGTTAGATGTTAAAGCTAATGTGTTTTTTGGTTTTTTTTGTCCCCTATAACAGAATGATCATTAGTGCAGTTAGACCTCTCCGGTGCTGACAGCACTGTGAAGGTCTGGCTATGTGTGACTACTTCAATGGCAATGTCAGCCTGTTGGTCTGTCCACTTTGGTCCAGATAGAAATACTTTCAGACATTCATGTTCCAGGATGAATCCTAAAGACTGATGATCTCATGGCTTTTCATTTATTGCCATCATCAGGCCTCATCTTAATTTGTCCAATACTTTCTTTTATGACCAAACACCTGCAAAAATGAATGATGAAATCTCATCAACTACACCTGTACATTGTGACTAGTGTCATCATGCTAACGCGTTAAACCAAGGTAGTGAATATGGTGAACATTGCACCTGCTGAACATCACGTTAGCGTTTGTCATTGTGTGCGTTTTAGCATCAGAACATTAGCATTTAGATCAAGCACTGAGCCAGTAGCAAGGCTGTAGACTTATTTTCCAGTTTCCGTCAATTTTAATGTCTGATCTTTTTAAATCTTTGGTCATGTTTCCATGATCCATTTCCCCCCTCTTCAACTCTAATTTATTCTTGCGAACTTGTCTCATTATTTCTTTTCATCACTTTAAATCACATTTTCTTACACATCCCTTCTCATCTCATCTCATATCTTCTGTTTTTAAACATCTCTTTTGATTTAATGTCTACTCATCTTTCTTTACATTTTTATTATCACACTTTACTGTTGTTTTCATGTCCTCTGATTTTTTTTTTTTTTTATCATTTTGATCCCTGTTCTCATCTCATCTCCTCGTCCCTTTTGTCTCCTAAAATCTCTTTCCTCCTCTCTTTGATGTTTGAATACAGCTGCTTGTTTTTAGCTTCCAGTAAGGTAACTGGATAAACACTTACAGATGCATACAGTGAAGATCCAAAGGAGGAAGTTATGAATTTCATATTCCTTTAACCGGAACGCTGTCAGGTTCATGAGATTAATGCCGGACTGGTGGTCATGATGTTCACTGCTGAAAAATGATTGGACAGACAAACCCACATTTTAGTAACCTCACAATCTTTTATATGGGAGTTCACATAGAAGGAAGAGAGAAAGTTCCCTCGGAGTAATTTTATTTATTTTTCTTTTTGAATCAAAGACTATTTCCATGGTTTATGGAAAAAAAAATATCTTTGCTATGCAGCATGTCAAAATCAGTCCATGCATCTCAGTTTGTTTTCATATTGCTTTGATTTACAGAGCTTCATGAAACTCATAAACACTCACAATGAAAGTAATCTGCTCAGTGTGAGTTCAAAGCCGTGCCAGCAAATGCCAGATAAAAGAAAGTGGTGTGTTCTTTCAATGTAGTCGTGTTGGCATATATAATAGACTTCAGTTTTCCTGCACGCTGCGCTGTTTGCTAACGCATGGGGGTTCTTGTCTGCAAACACATTAAACGGTAGAAACAATTGTGCATGAATGTATTTACGCCAGTTCATTTTTGTATTTGAATTCAAGCATTTTTATGTTTAATGTGCGTTTGTGTTGCAGTGGAGGAGACCCTGGTGCGGTTGGTGAACGGGTCGGGTCCTCACGAAGGCCGCGTGGAGGTTTTCCACGAACGTCGCTGGGGCACGGTGTGTGACGACGTCTGGGATAAAAAGGATGGAGATGTGGTGTGTAGGATGCTGGGATACCGAGGAGCCGCAGAGGTCCATAAGACTGGACGCTTCGGACAGGGTATAAAACTCTCAACACACACATGTACACACTCTGATGACTCTTACTTCACTTGTATCGCCTACAGATACAGTGCATACTTTTCATTAGTAATACAACTGTCCTAATGTGACTTGGTTTGACTGAGCTCCGCCACACACTGAAACTGGCTCATTGTTCACTTGTGAGGTGGAGGGAATGACTGACTGAATGAATTCATCTGTTTCTGTGCTGCTGTTGATTTTTAGAATTAGAATTAGAAAATTAGAGAGCCTATAAAAAATATATACAACAAAATTTGGAGAGCTACTCCTGATCAGTGAAAGCAGTAAAAAGAGTAAAAACAACTGACAAAAGGACATAAAAAGAATATTGTACTTAGGAATATAATAAATACTTAAAAGAAAAAGTGCTTTGAGTAGCTATTATTTAAAGAGAATGATAAAATATGGTAATGATTAAAAGCAGATGCAGATGACGGCTATGAGTGCACATTTGTGGATAGGAACAGAATATATGTTTTGGTCCGTCCTACAGTTTGCCACGATCAGCTCAGGCCCAGAACACTCATATAGAAGTTACACAGTAAAGACGATATATAAAAGTGAATAGGAACAGAATACACAGTCCTGTATAAAAAGTTTAATGTTTTAGATGTTTGGACTCTCATCCATCACAAAGTACCATCAGGGATCGTTGCCAAATTCATTCTGCAGCAGGACAACGACCCCTAACACACAGTCAGCCACTAAAACTACACCACTAGATGTAAGGCAAGTGTAATCACAAACAAACCCTGTTAGAATAGACAAGGCGCAAGTTTTTAGGAGTATTTAGTTATTTTTATTTATGCCAAAGTTGTGTCATTATCACTTGATAAAAAAAATGTTCAAGGAAGCTTCTGTGGCTCAGGAGGAAAAGCAGGTTGTCCATTAATTGCATCCACATGTCAGAGTGTCCTTGAGCAAGACACTGAACCCCAGTGGGCCGGGCCAGTGCACTGGATGACATACTGTATGTATGTATGAGTGATGACGAAGGCACACTTGGGTTTAAAGATACTAGATATTTTAATTCATGCATGCTCTGTCATTAGAAAGACAAACCCTCAAGAAAAACAAAAATGCATAAAATGCAGCTTCGTGTGTTTTGCATTGAGAGTAACAACTGAAAAAGGAAGAAATGGATGAGCAGACAATTTACACAAGATTACAGATCATGTGAATATAGTTTTCCATAAGTAACAAGAGGGAACCCTTTTCAAAACTGTCCCTACTTATAACTGCATTAATGCAAATTTACTGTACACATCTGCATAGTTGCAAGTGTCTGAAAGAGTCCATGTGACACACACTTTGTCTACTGCTCATGTTAGCAAAGATGTCTGTGCTGCACCGCCTAAACTTTATGATGTCTCAGACTGACTGCACATGCGTAGAACACATCCCAGTGGAACTCAGTGTAGTATGTACAAGAGACATGAGACGTTAACTCTCATTTTCTATCTTGAGGAAGTTTCAAGTATCTGCAGGTTGATTTTTTTGTATCATACAGACATGAACAGACAAGAAAAGAAACCCTGAGTGGTAAGAAATGAATCTAAAAGCATGGCAAAATGTCATAAGTGAGCAAAGTGTATTTAAAGTATACACATTTCACCAGTGTTTTAACTACAGTAACACAAGGGTGAGTAAATGATCATGTTTTTATTATAATTTTGAAGGTACTTTTCCTTTAAGGTTATTCTTTAGGGATCAGTTTTCAAATAAAGACAATTACAGCAGGAAATTAATGAACTCTTATTTCCCACAGCACATATCCATGGTGAAATTTACTGATGGAAGCACTTGTGATTTTTACAAACTCCGCTGTTTTTCACTGTTGACTGGTATTATTTAAACAGTGCCCTGAAATGCTGCAGGGATTAATATTAAGGTTTTATGAGGAAAGCCATGAGATCCAGATGTCGTCAAAAAGGAGTCTCAGGAGTCATATCCATCTCTTTCTTTCTCTCTCCCTCTCTCCATTTTATTTCATTCACCAGTCGGCCTTACATCATTCAGTCTCTGCCCAGGACGAGTTGTTACCAATACGTCTGGAAAATTAGGGGAAAACATGCCTTTGTTCCAGGGGACGACCTCCAGACAACAGCGGTGACCAACATCACGGCTGGATTCAATTTAAAACTAAAAATCTGGAATTCAAATATATATTTTCAGATGAGTCATTCACCTTTTAGATTTTTTTTTTTTTTTACTTCAGCTTTTACAGGTTCATAACATCTTTGAAGAGTTTTCAGGGCATTTCTCAGACCCAGATTTGACAGGAGAGAACACACTGTACCACAGAAACTACCAGATCTGAAAGCCATGCAGCAGCTAACTAATAAGACTGGAGGGAGTGTCTTTCTATGGTGAATGGACTGTAAAAAGCGCTTCATTCACCCGTTCACACGCACATTCATACAGCGCTCTACATATATAACACCTTTTTTTACCACTAGCACACACACTCACACATCGATGATACATTGAGGGCAATTTGGGGTTCAGTACCTTGCCCGGGAGATACCTCGGCATACACACCGGAGGAGGAGGAATCAAACAACTGACTCTCCGACCAGCAGACGACCTTTTTTGCCCATAAAATATTATTTTATTATTATATAAAATGTTTTATTTATATTTGAGACTAGGCAGGGCAAAGTTCCAAACAAATATACTGTATAATAAAAAACGAAAACTAATATTATATAATATAAATTGTTAGATGTGTATCCATGGATACCTACTCTTAACTGTAAAACAACCACAACTATGAAGCATAATATTTGCATAATAGGTGAGATTTATGCTTCATATTTCAGTGTTTTCAAATCATTTTTTTGTTTTACATGAGAAAAGAATTCAAGGAGGAAGACTTACTGGTTTACAAGTGTACATCAGGTTAACCGCCCCACCTCCTGAAACGAGCAGCACACAGATGCTTGTCTCAGCGTTTCTAGGGAACCCACTGGGACTGCTTGAATTGGATTTTACAATCCGGGCTATTGCAGTCAATATCAATTGACAGGTTTTCAAACTCTTTACCACAACCACAATTAATCATGATAATTTAATCCTTGCTTGAGTTGTTGTTGAGCTTCCTCATTCTTCACTATTCAAGTGACTTTCATGCCTGTGGTTTGGTTTATGCTGTCCAGACCAAAGGAGAAGAATAGTCTGCTTTTTCACATACCAGTATTACAGGGGATAGTTAGTTCCTGTCAGATCGCTGCGTTTCATTGGTTCTTAATCAGAAACTGACACAAGCATGGTCCACTGGTCCACTTTCTGTTCACACCACAGGTGAATCGCTTGGAAGCCAACAAAGATTTTCCTTATTAGTCTTGGTCCTACTTGTACCGTGCACCAGAGTTCAACTAACTGTGTTTTATGTCAGCTCAAATGAACCGCACTAATCGGGCGAACGCTCCAGTGTTTGCTTGAACTGGAACAACATCCGTCTCCTGAGCTCGCTGCTGCAGAGGAATCCGAGTACATGACATAGTAGTCTACTCTGCATAGGTGAGCATCGACTTCTATTTCCCATAACTAGGAACAAAAGAACAGAGTTTGTCTGACCTTGTAATCAGTGAGGAGACGCAGACATCAGCCCTCAAGGTGAATGGGATACTGGGGATAAAAGAAAAAAGAAGACTTTTACAAAATCCAGAACTGACTGATTTTCTGCAGACAGGGTTATTCTTTTAGCCTCGTTTGCAAACAGACACAACAACAGACTTTTAATCATCCATATCCCTCTGAAACTGAGTAACTCTTCTCTAAACTGTCTCTGGGGGTGTTACCCTCAAATCCCAGTGTTTTAGTGATTCAACACTTATTTGTGAGAAGTGTCATGAATTTGGTGGTGAGCGGACGTAACCTTCGCCTGCAAGCCGTGCTGTAAATCTGTGTTGAGATCCAGAGTAAACAGTTTAAAGGTCCGTGTCAATCAAACCAAACCCTCTGAAGGCGCAGCAGCAGAAACAGCTAACGCTCATGTACAATACTGTACCTCCATCCTTAAATCTGCAGCCGGTGTCTCTTTGTTATGTAACTTTGTGAATCAAAGTGTGCAATGTTTGTTGGAGATATGTTTTTTTTTGTTTTTTTTTAATCAGATTCAGCCTTTAAATGCAACATTTTGGTCAGATTATGCAGAAATCTGTAACATTTATGGACAGGTTTTGTAGAAGAAGAAGTATCCTTCCTCTGTTGCTCTTCGTGAGGTTTCTCAGCCAGGAGTCTAGGGAAAGAGGGTGTGTCGTAGGTTGTTGCAGTTGTAAAGCTCTTTGGGGAAAAAAAATAGATTGTGGATTTTGGTTATGAAAACAAAATTGACCTAAATTTTATTTCTCTGGGATTCACTGCAGAGTTTGTGTCCAACGATGATCTAAAGTCATCAAAACTTTATACTGGGTTTTTCTTTTTATGTGTTGCTGCTCCACTTGAGCTTTGATGGAGTAAAAACACAAAAACAAGCCAAGTTGAAACTGGCAGAACCAGTTCCCAAACCCATGTCTGTACTTATTTCATATAACACATGTTCCAAACATAAAAACACAAATGTTGAGGTGTCAGTGCCATCTCATCAGGCCAGTGTAGCGCTAGAGCTGCACTTTCTTTGCTACTGACTGGGACTGGATTTATTTTGGACTGATCTTTGAAAAACCTTCTTCTTCCGACACAACATAAAACACATCAGAGGAAGGAAATAGTGTCTAATATAGTCCCAATGAGAGATTTTGGAAACATTTCTTTTTCACATGGTTCATGAAACATATCTGACATCTCGGTATGTGGTCCATTTCATTTGCAGCTGCAGTTTGTGTGAATTCTCTTAGACTTGCTCCCAATGTAAAAGGATGAAAATAACACAGTTTTGATTTTGTCCCTGCAGTGAATGATGCCAGAAACTTGTGAAAGTTGTAAAAAGAATTTGTTTTTATTTTGATTGATCTCCGAGGCTCAAACCTGTTAATGAACTGAGGACAAAGGTCTGTGGCAGAGAGCATTAAAACCTGTGTATTCAATAAACAAAAAATGTCATTTACATACGTGTCTGAAGAAGCGTAACATAGCTTCCCCCTACTTAATTTAATAGAAGAAAAAGAAAGCGCCAAAACTTGTGCATAAGTGTAAATTAACAGTAAATCACATGGAGCAGCTGTCAAAGACAAAACACATTCTTCAACCTTCGGACCATGCTGTCAGATACGTGACCCACAGGCTGCAACTAACAGTTATTTTCACTATCGATTTATCTGTTGATTATTTTTTGGATTAATCAATGAATAGCTTCATCAACAACAATCCACAACCCAGAAATATTGAATTCACTATCATGTAAATGACACAGAAAAGCATCAAACTCACATTTGAGAAGCTGCAAGCACTACATTTTTGGCATTTTTGCTTATTTGTTGATTAATTTGGTGATGATTTTTTTCTTTGTAATCCTTTGCGCCCCTTTATGGTTGTTTTGCATCTCTTTGTGTTCTCTTTCGTAATTGTTTTGCGGTCTCTTTTGTGATTGTTTCATTGCCTTTCCAACAAGAAATCCAAAATGTAATTTCATGCAGGAGCTCTGATCCGCTTCAATATTCTATCCATGATACAAATACACCAACTCCAGAATTACTGTTTGACTCTGGTAGTTCCTGTCCCGCCCCTCTGATCCTGCCCCTGCTGTTCAGTGACACTGACAGCTCTGTACACCTGAGTGATTAACAGCTGTGATTTAGAGCAGAGCAGCGGAGATGACAGCCACTATCTCCCCACTTACAAAGCTCCAGATGCTGCTTTAAAGGCCGTGCTTACAAGTCAGCCTCTGTTCTCACCTACAGGACATAAAGCCTTTAGTTCTGAATCCTTTAAAGTGAAGAATCAGCATGTGAGTGCAACCAAATGTTGTTCAGTCTCACTCTTATTCCCTCACAGCTGAGTAGCATCTCCTCCGAGCATTTAAAACTGTTGCAAAACTGAAGCGTTCGGGATTTCCTTGAAGCCTCCAGTGATTCTGGTTTTACAAACAGGAACCAAAGTTTATTGCTAAAACAATACAGCCAAAAGCTCTGCTTACCAGCTGGGACTGTGTTCTATTACCGGATATTATATTATCTGATCAACAATTCTGCGAGGAAGCAATGGGAGTACTTGCTGTGTCAATCAGAGGACTCAGTTCAAATGGTGAATGTTCCTTTGGAGTTTGATATGTGGAGGAGTTGGTAGATAAAAACCATTTGCCTCCGAAAACATACTTATAACTGGGACATAAATTCATTGATTTTCAAAGAGCTAATCCAATGTCAGAGGACGCACAAACGTTTCATATGTGTGCAGATGTGTCCTCCATGTAACCTGTTTCACAATGCAGCTTAAAGCTTTGTTGATTTGGTAACGATATGAAATCAAAATTTGCTTTTAGAGAAGAAACAAGAAGTGTTTATGTATACTTTGTCTAGTTTATGGTAGACTATACACTGTGATGATAAAACTCAGCTGATGATAAAACTCAGCTCCAGCCAACACGTTCCTTCTCTTTGGCTGCAGTTACATCATTTTGACTGTGTGCATGAGCACAGATGAGTCAGAGTGATGCATTGATGAGCCATCAGAGAGAAGGCTGAGCTTGGACTGCTGCTGTTGAAGTCCAGATGTGATTTTTTTTTTTATTTCCCAATAAATTCTTATGATAGATTATCATTAAGATGATGAAAATGACTTTGGAGATTAGTTCGATTTCATTCATCACATTCCACCTTTCTTCATATGAACTGTATCCTAGATGGGAGCCTCTCTTTGAATGTCTTGGAAAGCGAGTTTGTGAACTTTTTCTTTTGCATATATTCATTGGGTTTTTACCTAACATTGTTCAGAATATTTACCAAACAAACAATTATTAAAACATGATGGAGAAAAAGAAGCAAAAAAAATTAAAAACACAAAAATAACAAGCTCTCAGATCAATGGAGCAAAGCCAGTGAAGCAGTTCAGGCAGTCAGCCTGAGCTGCAAATGCTACACCTTCTCCCTGCATCACCTAACGGCACCACAGCTCCAACTTTAGTCCTGGGAGAAGAGAACAGCTTTGAATTACATTGACAGTGTGCAGAAGCTCGGAAAAAGCCACGAGCAGTGACATCAGACTCCACGCAGTCGGAAATAGTTCCTACTTGTCCATTTTGTAACGTTTCTCCTTCTTTCTGCGCAGGTACTGGTCTGATCTGGATGGATGACGTCGCATGTGCAGGGACTGAGGACACCATCCACCAGTGTAACTTTTCTGGCTGGGGCAAAACCAACTGCGGCCACGTGGAGGACGCTGGTGTGACCTGCGCCGTCTAAGACCTTCGCGATCCCGGTCCTGCTGCAGCGGCAGAATATCTCCTCAAACGGTGCCTTGAACTTTTCAGAAGCTACAAAGTGCGCAACATCCTACCAGCTTTTTTAGAAGTTCACGTCTAAACATGTGACTGTTTTAGCCACGAGACTGAATCATGGGGCTGATGAAAGTGCACGCATTTTTTAAGACTTTGAGTTGATACGCAGAGGGATGATCGCACGACAGGACTCTTCATCAGGACTGTATTACAGAGCTCCCCTGTCTTCAATGAAGGACCAGAGGTCAGCTTTTATAGGAGTAGAGAGAAGTTGCCCTCAGAGGCTTGTCTGGGGTCAGTTTGCTGTTTTGACCTCCAGGGTGGAGTCAAACTGATCCAACAACTCCATCATCCGAGAGCCTTCAATTGTCAGCTGTTGTCTCCAAGATGCTGCGGAGCTGAAACGGCACATAACTAAACTGACGTGACTGTTTTATTGATGAACTGATTTTTCATTTACAGGCAGCTTTTCTTCTCAGTATTATGTAGGAATGGCTTTTGCTAAGCATACCACAGTGTTGCCTTATCATATCTATCATATAGCGTCATTTGGTGATTTGCAGCCTTGACATCTGAGTTGAAACTGGGGCTTAAATTTCATCTTAAACTTAAAAACTGGGGGTCGCTTCTGGTGATGAAACTGTAGAGGATTAACCCCCAGAATCTAGCTCCCCTCAGCTTTACAGTGAGTTTCAACTCATTGTTTAGCTGTTTGTTGTTTGTCTTTACTGTTTTGGTTCACTCTTCCCACTCTCATAGTGTCATTTTTGGTCACAGCAGGCAGCTGTTTTCACTGAAAACGCCCCGAAAAAAAACTCCCTGTACACTCCCTGATCAGCAGCAAACAGCAGACAGACACAGTCAGAGACCAGCTGGTGAACATAGTGGAGCATTCAGCAGCTAAGGAGCCAGATATTTTCTTCAAGAGTCGGTAGAGACAAAAAACAGAACTAAAAGCATCAGGTAGAGAGAAACACGAGTCCAAATATATAGTCATTTTGCTCTGTAACTGCTGGATGTGTAAATATGCAACTAACAAGTTCATCTGGTCTCAAGTTGCCAAAAAATAAGTTCATGCAGGTTTAACATTTTACATTCAGTGTTCCCCACCAAAAGGCATTATGCGTCTATTTCCTGCAGGTCTAACAAACAGGTCCAATGCTTCTTCATGTGTATTACTCCTCCTACATGCTTGAGCGTGTGCATGATACAAACAAAACAGGGACCAGCTCATAAAAAACTTGCTTCAGAGCACTACTAGAGGTCAAAAACTCTTCAAGTGAACGTGATAGTTTATTTTCAAGCTCTACTAAAACTTGTCTTTACATTTAATACACAAAAAAAAGTGTTAGAATCATTGCCCAAATCTGCAGATCTATTTTATCTCATTGTTTCAGCCTAATTTCCAGCAGCAGGCAGCTGTTTTTGTCGCCTGCTCAGCACCAAACAGAGGACAAAGTTGGGAACTAGCTTGTGAATGAAGTTCAATATCCTGCAGCTAAAGAGCCAAATATTTTTATAAAAGTTGCAAAAGCGCAAACAGGTAAAAGGAGACAGGATTTTTGGATTTACGTTCATCAGGTGGGCAGTAACATGACTTTAAATGAATGCTTATGTTGGTTTGATGCCTGAACGGCTTTAAACTTGAACAACTTCATAAGCCAGTAATACAGGATATGTTAGGGCTGTGTGTTTCAGGTTGTTTTTCTGCTCCTGACCTGGACATCTCTACTTCTTTTAACCTGCAAATCACCAAATCAGTGCTTACTGTGTGCTTTATATTTATACAAGGAAAAAAAAAACCTGCAACTAACAGATTTTGGAAATGGTTAACAGGCACTACAGTTGACAGATGAAGCAATTATGAAGAAGAGAGAACAGATGAGTATAAACAGATGGATGCATGGATGCCTGCCCTGTACAATTTATAACGGTGGGTCTGTCAGTGTTTACTGCCAAAACTTGGGTTGTTTCAGCATTAATGCACATGCGTAAGCAGACACACACACGCACACGCCAAACCAACCATAACATAGGGGCTTTTTCTTCTGAGTTTTATTCCTCTCTCAGGGGGGTTTAATCTTTATAGCTGCTCTGAAATCCAAAAAGGCTGGTACCTCCCAAGCGTCCTGGCTCACTTCTCAACCGAGCTTAGAGAATACACCAAGCTTGGAATAAAATATATGTAGGAACCTGTCTCTTTACCCAGTCATGTTTTATATTGGAAGAGGGGAGGGAAAACATTTTTAGTGCACCTTAAAATTTGGCAAACTCACGCAGCCTAAAACTTCTCCCCCAAGGGCTGTAGTTGAATTCTCTCTGCTCCTATAATCTGGAGTGAAATCCGTCTGTGTAAGCTGTCCTACTTTAAACAAATCAAAAAGTGTCTGGCCCGCTTACTTTTCATGAAAGTGAATCTGCAAAGATGATGATGATTGAATTTTCATGTCCAAGTGAGAGGAGAAAAGAATGTTTTGGATATAAATTTGACTTTTCATGGCACCGCAGCCAGAAATGACTTTTTTTTTTCTACCTCATGTTAAAGTGCCTTGGTGTTGGTCCACGTTTCTTTTTAAACCAACACTCTGCCACAGAAGAAGACAAATTAATGAAGTGAAATGGGAAAGGGGAATCTGGGTAAAGGGAAAATGAGGTGAGAAACCAGACTGAATATACTCAAAAGAAGTTATAGCAACACAAAAGGGGATTGTGGGTAACATGTTTTCCTTGTGTATTTTTCTTCAAAAGTTGATTGGATAACTCACTCAACTGCTTGTGTTAAACAAAAAGACTGGTCATGTGATGAAGTCACTTCTGGTTCAGAAAACTGTGATCATTTTGCATGTCTGCATTACTACATACTGTTCAAGCACAGCTGATACATTACAATCATTAGACCCAATAATGAACAGCATTGACAACTCTTTGGGACACACCAGGAAGCTTGTTAGTTATTGTTTTCATCTTCACTTGCTCATCCTTAATGCTGAAGATTTTTCACTTTGTTCACAAGGTTTTGGAACCTGTTTTATAAAAGCAATAATACTTTTAAATGTTTCTCACTGTGACTTCTGGGATTTAATGACACCAACACTATATAGTATGTGGCTGCTGGAAAGATCCCAGTTGATTGTTGCATATTTTTATAGTACTCATTAGATCTGGACGTATTAATCGATTAATCTATGAGACAATAGGCTGAAAATTAATTGGCAAGAAAGATGATAATGGAGTAATTGCTCAAGTCATTTTCAAGCAAAAAAACTTCAGCTTCTCAAATGTGAAAATTTCCTGCTTTTATTTGTCTTATATTGTAATCTGAACATACTTGGATTTTGGACGATTGGTCAGACAAAATCAGAAGACAGAAGATGTCAACTTGTGCTTGGGAAAATTATGCTGGACATGTTTCACTATTTTTGCATATTTTGTAGACCAAACCATTAAGATATTAAATGAGAAAACAACTGGCGGATAAATCGATTACAAAACAATCATTAGTTGCAGCTCTAATACACTTGTATATACTCACTGCATGTCCTAATATATTTAAATGGACACTAGGTCAGACTTTAATTCATTCATTTTAGACTTTAATCCCACTATGCAATTGCCCGTCATGACGCCCGCCAGTGATTCATTGATCCACCAGCGGAGGGCACTGCTCTGGTGGAGTCATTACATGAGCAGAGGTACTGATGTCCACAAGTGCACTGAGACCTTTTTCCAGGTGAACCCAAGGTCCTCTGGGAGTTTCGGGTCATCTCATTCTCCCAGTTTGTCCCACAGGTGTTGCACTATCAATGTCGCCCTTGTATAGGAAACAATGTATTCTAAGGACTCATAGTTACTTGCGAGGACGTGGTAGATAGTCGTGCACGTGGTGATAAGACTAAGCATCACTCGTACAAGCTGATTGTAGAGTGAATGCTGTCTCATCTCAAAGCCTCCTTCAGCCGACAGAGCTTGAAGCTGGTCAACAAGGTTCTTGGATCCTGGTGCGCTCCATTTCCTTTTGCCCAGTGTATTGTGTCCATGTACCACAGTTGCTGTACTTGGCTATAAAGGTCATCTGGAGGAGGAAGCGTAGAGGACTTGTAATGTTCATCAAAGCCTGGTTTTGATGACGGCAGGACTGAGTCTGACTGGCCGATAGGTGTGATGAGATGAAGGTTGTCTGAACGTATGAGCAATATAGCCCACAAGCTTTCTCTATCAGCTGTAGAGGCAGGCCTCGGAGATGGCGATACCTTTGTTGTCAGGCTTTGATGGGATATGACTGTTCTGCTAATAATAGTTACCTGCTGTGAAAGCTTGTCCACGGGCAATCAGCATCTCCTGAGCAGCTTAGTCTAGCAAAACAGGCTGCCGTGACCCGTCATCAATGACTGCGTAGGCCACCGTCTCATGCTGTCCATTCCCAAGAAGCGCCATCACCGTGACCTTCAATCAGACAGTCTCAGCTGCTGAAGGCTTGCTGAGGAAAAGCACCTCACTTAACAGTCCTTCCAAAACAGAAGCTGGTGAAAGTGTCTTTTTTTTCCTGCCAGTTTTTCCTGCCTTTTCTGAAGCTCATCCACCGACATCCTGCATCTACCTTTCAAAGTTGCATTCAACTGAACAACAGTTCCTGCCGCACCGCCAACAGCTACCGGAGTCCTTAATCCAATGGTGCTTCCGCTGCTTAGTGAGATGCCTCAAGTTACTGCAGCTGTTGAAAGTATTGTTGGTGTGTTCTCAGTACTGGTTTGCAGGGGGGTTTAAAGCAGCCTCTGCTGGCGTGGACTTCTGCCCTCATCTCACAGCTAAATGTGTTTTGACTGATGTACCTTCCAGGCTGAGTCGTAGGCTGTCAGATAATAGCAGGATAAAACAGTTGTGATGTGATTTCCTGATTGGTTAGAGGTTCCTCTGCACCAAATCACTGCTTCGAGCTCATGGGGTCAAATAACTCGAATGCTTTGACTTTGAAATGTAAAGCACCCTAATGCCATACCTTTGAAAGCGAGAACACATCGCTAAACCAAGTGCACTTAACCACTTAAATGTGTGTTTTTCCAGGAAAGATTTAATGTATACTTGGTTGTACTAAGACTTTCTGTATGCAACTTCGACATAATGGCTCCAGGCACTTCTGCATATACATGTGTCTGTTTTTTGTTTTTTCTACATTGTGCTGGTCATAACACATATAAGGGCTATGGAGTTAACGACATACATACAAAAGTAAATGGCTAAAACAAACATGATTATGTCAAGAAAATATATTTGCTTAAAAAAACACAACTTTTTACTTTATGTTCTGTTGATTTTTGTACCACTAAAATGCTGTATATGCACTGCTGAAATAATAAAATGTAGATTTGTTTAAACAGGTGAACTTTGTTTTTCCTGATAACATTGAGAGAGGTGACTTTTTTTTAACATGTCAACAGGTGAAGAGAGTCTTAGGAAGTTGAGTTGGACGTGTGTGTGTGTGTGTGTGTGTGTGGGTGTGTGTGTGTGAGTTGCACACATGATCACAAGCACTGACGCACGTGGATGTGTGCACCATGTATGTGACCTGACTGACAGCTCTGAAGTGTAATTGTAAGTATGAATGTTTCCACATGTGAAGCCAACACAGAGATGATTGGCCGACAAATCACCTGATCTCCAACCAACACACATGGCCGACAGTCAGAACAAAGACTGGGAAGACCGTGTGGTTCAGGTGAGCATGGTTTCATTTATCGTCCAGGAAGGTAAAATTTTACTATTTCTTATTTGATACAATAAAATGTAAAGGTGTGCAAGTGAATTCCTATTGCACATATGTAAGTGGTTGGTTGGCTGGATGGGTTTCTGACCTAGTTTGATCATATTTAAGCCCAGGAACACATGATAGATTAATTTACTGTTGCTTCAGTAGTTGTTAATCTTTTTTTTCACCTCTACAGTCTCTTCTGTTCGCTCTGACCAGCTCAGGATCTCCATTATAAAAGGCAATTTTGTCTCGTTCAGGCAGATCTTTAGATCTCCAGGTAGCCACAGTTTATTGTTCGTAAACATTTTAACTTGATATTTGTTTGAATACAGTTACATTAAATATGGTGTGATAACATGGATCAATTCATCTATATCATCACTAGAATTAAAAAGCACATCCCATGTAGTATCCTCAAAGCAGTCCCTCATGTATGTAATTACCCACATATCTGGATATACACCACTGCATGCAGGAAGATAAGAGGCAATTCTTTCCATTCTATCATTTGTTTGTGATTATTTAAACTCTCTATGGGAGGAATTTTATACGATTATCTTTCAAATTATTCTGATGACCTAATTTTTGTTTGGCTGTTTCTGAAATCCCTCGCAGATTCTATTCAGTGGCTGAATTCTGTAGAGTGAAGTTTAGTGCCCTAAAAGTCAGGATGGAGCTGAAGAGAGCTGGGGTTGACATCCGGGTTTGGAGCTGAAGGGTCAAAAGGGGCCTCGACCAATGTGGCCGTTTATCTGCCATATTTTTCATGGTGTGGGCTAGGTCTCTTTGTACCAATTAAGGAAAATCTTAATGCTATATTAACAGTCACTCATACAGACAATCTGGCACAAGGGCCCCCTAACATCTTGGGTCCATGGGCCTGCACCCAGTAGGCCCGTTCAGGAATCCATCCACAACATACAATAATATTTTTGATGGTCCACTTCCAGCTTTGTGGTAACTGTTTGTAAAAAAAAAAAAAAAAAGCTCTTTCCAGGTTCAACATGATATTGTCCTCCATGCTTAAGTGAGGTTCATAAAAAAAAATAGCAATCCCATTTTTGTTGTGAAAGAACTCTTGACTGGCCGGCTCCGAGCTCTGGCCTCAACCCCGTCCAGCACCTTTAAGATGAACTGAAACACTGACTGTGAGCCAGGCCCTGTCACCCCACATGAGTGGTCCTCCTCACTAATGTGCTTGTGGCTGAATGGAAGCGAATCCCTGCAGCCAGGGTCTAAATTTGTGTGGAAGGACTGAAAGCAGAGGAGTGGAGACTGTTACAGCAGCATGTTGATGTCTGCAGTTTTTTGCGTGAGATTATCAACAATCACCACATGACCACAGTATGTTTGTGGCTCAATACACATCTGAATATATATACATAACTGCTCATTTAATCGTGTCTTTTTTCTTGTACTGTGCACAGCTTTTATTTGATATGTCAGGTGGGAATTTTATTTCTTTAATGTAATGGTCCTTTTATTGAAAATCTTTCCACCAGACTTTTCTTAAATATGTAAATTCTTTCTTGACCTTTGGCAAAAGCAGTTGGGTACACACCACAAAGTCCATTTTGCTGTTCTGGGGCTTTCAGTTATATCACATGATCTTCTGAAGCCAACTGCTGTTTTCCAAGATCAAGAACGAACTTTGAACCTCTCTTAAAAGTTTCATCTTGCTTCTGTAAAATTGTAGTAATCCAGATTATCAGTACAATTCTAGCATGTGTCACTACATGAAATGAAATATTTGTTCTTCATCTGAGTATCCTCCTCTCATTCTCTCTGGCTTTTTCTCTGCGGTCTGACCAGAGAGTAACTCATCCTTATTCTATAAAGTGAACCACAACATGTGCTCATGTGTTCAAACATGAGCTCATTCCCCTTCAGGGGAACAAGAAATGGGGAGAAAGTGAGAGAAAGCAATAGTCCCAGTCTTCCCTTCCACGTCCATTTGTCATCAGACCACATTCCTGCTCCTCTTCTTCATAATGGATCGGTTATCCCTCCCCACAATGAGGAGACTGGGCTGAACATCTGCAGTGTGTGAAGGAGATGAAACAAAAATGGGATCATGAGAGTCGAGGTCAAGGTCAGCCTCACCATCACCAGCGAGGGAATTCTTTCAGACAACTTGCTGATGTTAGAGAGAGAAGAGACACGAGCAGTAATGAAAATGACACAAATCTGTTCTTAACTTGCTCTTACTGCCAACACATGTAACTGATGTGGGGTAAGAGCTTTTAATAATCACTAGTCTATGACAAGTTTTAAATTGGTTTTCAGAAAGCATAGATGCAGTGCAGCACAGTGTTGCTGTCTCGTTAAGGTGGTGTATTTCACTCATAAAACTAATGACTCAACCTATGTGCAAGGCAGCAGAAATAATGAAATTGTCATGTACAGTGGGGGTCAGTACGGGCTAAATAACAAGTCTTTGTCCTGGGGCCTCATAAGGTCAGTCTGGCCATCAGGTTATGTTATTCTATTGTTCCTTGAGTATCTTTCTGTTCTCTTTATTTGATATTGATTTGTTGTATGATTGATCTCCTGACTAACTGATCATTGATATGCAATCACTGATGAAAATGAATCTAACTTGCAACCTGTCACACATTTTGTCAGGAATATAGGCACCTGCACCTGAAATGGATAGGGGGAGTTTTTGTTACAGGATTTTTATAACGTGACTGACCTCAGCTGGTGAAATAGCTGCACTACAACTGTGATTGATTTAACAAGTAATATCTTTAAAGTAACATTGTGTCCTTTTTATATCAACAATAAAACTTTAAAGTCTTTAAAGTGTGAAAAAACAAAAACAAATTGTCATGAAGTTTGTGACCTGCCGTCGTCTTTTACAAACGACTTGCGTTTGGTTTGTCCCTCTGCGGCATCCGTACTGTGTGCTCCGCAGCAGTTTGAATGTTCGGCGCGGGTTAGCTGCAGAAGTTTTGTTGTGACGGTGAAAGAAAAGCAGGTAACGTCTCCGTTTTTGACTAAATTATAGATTTATCTGACTCAAAACACAACAAAGACAACTTGAGACGAATTGTCGACACGTTAACTCCAGTAACTCGGCAAATGTTTTAGCGTCAAAGCTGAATTTACGAGTGACATAAATGTTGGTTGCTACTGTGTCTCTGCCGTTGGTTAAGTATTGACTGAATAGTGCTATATTGTTGACGAACAACATATCTTAGAGTTGTTGTCGTTTTCAATTTTAATTGCCACAAGATTTTCAGCTTATTACTCGTTAACGTTATATTTTACTTCACAACGCAATTATTGGGCGTCATTAAGCCAGGTTCCCTTCAAAATCATGCGGTTTATTGTCGTTTTAAGCAGGCACAGACAAAGACAACTTTCTATACACCAAGTAGACTTCAGATTTTAATTCGGCTTATATCATATACAGCAAACACTACTTTAAATACTAACTTTTCCAAATTAAATCACCTTATAGTGTAAGACAGCCAGTTAATCCAGTCAGCAATCGATAGTGTTGCTCAGTTAATTAAGCGCTGCACAGAATAGTCGAGTTTAGGTTATTAACCGTATTCTAATATGTGTTGTTCCATTTTAACTATTTTGTTTTTCATTGACAGAATGGCCTCTAACACATGCACCGACGAGGGTGCATTCAAGACCCCTAAAACCGCCCGAGTGAAGCGCTTCGGAAGCAACGGAGGCACCCCCATCACCATCCCTGCTTCACCTTTCATGAAGAAGTTGGGGTGTGGGACTGGAGTCAATGTTTACCTCATGAACAGGTTTGTTGTCCTCTCTGATTACACTTCTCCGGTTCGGTTTACACTTCACTTACAATATAGCTCCTCATTTTCCCTCTGTATTCAAAATTATGCCAGTTTAATGTGTCCTTGGTCATAGGGACATGCACATACCAGGCAGAGGAGAACTTAAAATATCCAGCAGGGTCTCTAGCAAATTTTGCATGTAGATGATCCACAGGAAACAGTTGCAGCTTTTACTATTACCATGTTCCCTGTTTGCTTGTATTCAGAGCTGCATTGATTACTCGACTAATCGGTTATCCAGCAGACAGAAAATTAATCCTGAACTAATTTGATTATTGATTTTATGACAGTTTTAACAAATGGTGCCAAAATTTGATCATAAAAATAATTATTAATTGGGGCCCTGCTTGCATTGTGTATTTCCCTAGAAGAATACTGTGGGAAGAAGAAGACAGCCTCAGAAATTTTACATTTCATTAAATATAGTGACTTTTTTTTCAGGCTATTGCATATGGAATGTTTTCATGTCTGTGTATAAATAGATTAGAACAATGCACCATAACAAAGTATTGTTGAACAAATAATTTCAGAATGGAGAAGCTGAATGCATCTCCCTGGGCTGTGAAGAAGATCAACAGCAAATGTGCATCGAAGCAGGTGGCTGTTTACCAGAAGCGCCTGAACGAGGAGGCAAAGGTCCTGAAGGGAATCAATCATCCAAACATTGTTGGTAAGACGTGTTTTTAATCAGCAATAGAGAAGGGTGGTGAGGCGTTCACACAGAAAACTGAGGAAAACCAAGGAGGTGATTAACGCATGGATTCCTGGGAGGAGGAAAGAAAGGTGTTAAGTAATGCATTTCCAATGACACTGTTATTTCTCGGGCACCTAAGAAGTTAAGTTTTGTAAATGTTTCACGATGCAGAGAAAATACAAGTAATTGTCACCTCATTGTTCACTTATTAAGACTCAGTTTGAGTGGAAGTAACAGCAGGCTTCACATCATTTTTATTTTGTCGTGTCATACTCAGTTTACTTATGATATTGTGTTACATTCTCTGTTGTTAATTTTACATCCATATCCCAACATCAAGGTTTCCGTGCCTTCGCCACGGCCAAAGACGGCTCCAAGTGTCTGGCCATGGAGTATGGAGGAGAGCAGTCCCTCAATGACCTCATAGAGAAGAGGAGAGAGGACGGCCTCAAAGCTTTCCCTGCAGCCAACATAGAAAAAGTGGCGCTGCATGTGGCTCGTGGTCTGCAGGTAAATCATGGACTCTGTTCTCCCTGGTGTTAACGTGTCATATCTGCATCAAATATTCTCATGGATATAAATACAGATGCAATATACCTCAACTGCACCTCAAACTACAGCCTCCAAAATGACCATAAAGTTAAATCAGCACCTCAGAACTATAAAAAAAACTAACCATTATAACCTTCATGGAGGATTTATTGTCAACCTGCCTTATTACACTGCATTTTAGCCAGGTGCACCTAAAAAACTGGCAACTGAGTGAAATTGTAGCAGGATTCAATTCATTCTTGTGCCTCTGTGTTTTGAAATATGATTACTTATCATAAATTAGTGTCCACATCACTCGTTTTTTAATTTCAGTCTTTAGAAAATATGAATCCCTTGTCCTATTTGTTAATTATTCTCCAGTATCCTGAAAGTGAAAAATCTGATAAAATATAGTTGTCTGCCACCTGTTTGATTTGCATGTGTTTGGAGGTTAAATACAGAAAATAAAAAGATAGGAATTACCTGACAAAGACAGAGTCAGCAGCTCAGAAAACTTCAGTAAACAGGATTCCTACACCAGCTTCGCTTTTATATGTGAATGAAAGGAACTGTACCTAAAACCTGCACCAATCTGTATTTTAATATAGTCCTGTAGTGCAACAGTTTCATCAGTCAGTTTTTCAAGTTATTATTCACACATAATCAGTTCAGCACAGGATGAAAAATGAATTGTTTAATATCTATAATATGATTACCAAACAAAATAAATGGGAAATGGGAAAACATAAACAAAGACCCACTATTTTTTGAAATTATTATGTCCAAATCTTGTCTCCTCAACATTAGCCATCTTTTAATTTAATTTTAGAATTGATGATGGTCAAACAAAACAAACACAGGAGTAACAGGAAGGCTTTGTATGTTTTCCTCTACAGTATCTTCACAATGAGAAGAAGCTGCTGCACGGCGACATGAAGTCCTGTAACGTGGTCATTAAAGGCGACTTTGAGACCGTCAAGATCTGTGACGTTGGTGTGTCTCTGCAGCTGGATGAGAACATGAGAGGTAATGACTTTTTTCAGTCATGGCACGCATGATAAAAGGAAGCAAGTAGCTTTGATTTGAATATACAGCACTGTACTCAGTGTGATGGTTGGGGAAAGGGATAGTGGGCTCAGGAACATCTCAAAAACAATAAACTGTATTATCTAGGGTCCTTTGCCATTGAATTTGAAAAAGTCTGGAAATGTTAATAGTTATTCTTCATCGTAAACTGGTCTTTTAACATAGCCTTTAAGTGTATGCAACATTGCATTTTACGGCACATTGTTTGAGACAAATAAATCATTAAAAATGGAATGATTATTAAAATTGGATAATTTTTGTGCTATAAAACATGCTGTCGTTTGTTCCTCTGATGCAGCATTTACTAAAAACAGGATATTGATGCATAAAGTACTTCAAACTAACATTTCCTCATTAGTTCAGGATTTCACATAACCAACCAGTGTGGAATTGATCAACTCTACGATAAATGTGTCATCACATAAACAGCATCACATCCATTTTACCACAGACGAGTCATAATGGGCCTCTAATGTTTAATGAATCTGCAACTATTTTGATGATCAAAATCTTTTCAAGCAGAAGTCACTAAAACTTCACTTTAGGTCTCAGCCTCTCGTGAGAAAATTGGTTGTTTTTTCTTGTTTTAGCCGTACAGTGAATATCTTTGGATTTTGGGCCGTGGGTTGGACAAAACAAAGCATTTGATGACATTACCTTGGTCTGCAGGAGACTGTGATGTTTTATAGATCAAACAACTAATGGAGAGAATATGCAGTGTGTGTGTGTGTAAATGGAGAGAATATGCAGTGTGTGTGTGTGTGTGTGCGTGCGTGTGTGTGTGTGTGTGTGTGTGTGTGTGTGGACACAAGTGGGATTAATCATGGATTAAAGCACAGAATTGGCAGAGAAAGTTTGGATAGAGACGACTGTTTACAGCAGCTGATTTACTTTGTTTCTCTGCCCAAGCAGAAACATAAATTCTTCAGTCTTTCATGCTTTGTCTCGTCTTGTACATACTGTACATTTCATCTGCCAGTGGGGTCTTTCCCATCAGGTTTAATTTAAACTAATTGCAAACTTCTGGATCTTCCTTTCTAGCAATTGTCAACAGGACCGAAGATCACAAGCTTTGTATTTTTAGAAATAATGTAATTTTGGGTGAAGCCATTGCGGCAGCACAGATGACCTGAATGTTTGTTTTGTACTTAAATTGTTGTCCAGTCCAATTTGAGTTTTATTAAAGATGTTTATATTCTCTTCAGTGTCAGATCCAAAGGCGGACTATATCGGCACAGAGCCGTGGAAGCCAAAGGAGGCTCTGGAGGAGGGAGGAGAGATCAGCGACAAGGCTGACATCTTCGCCTACGGTCTGACTCTGTGGGAGATGATGACACTGGCTATGCCTCATCTGGAGATGCTGGAGGGTGACGACGATGAGGAAGATGAAGGTGAGACACACATTGAAAGCACTGAAATTTACACCCTTTACATTTGCTTGTAATTAGACCCGAAACCATAAATTGATGAATTATTTCATGGACAGAAAATTAATCTGCAACTGTTTGATAATCGAATAAATGCAAAAACTTTGGTTTCAGCCTCTCAAATGTTAGATACTGTATTGCCGTTTGTCTTAATCTGGTAATTTTGTGTTTTGGTCTGTTGAGACAAAACAAGACGTTTGAACACGTCACCTCGAGCTTTGAGATAATTGTGATCTGCATTTGTTCAGTGATTTTATTTTTTATTTCCTACACCAACTGATTGACTGAGAAAATAATTGGCAAACTGTTCAAAGAAGAAAATTGTTATTTGTAGCCCTAGGTGTAACGTGTACTAATGATGAAACTGAGGCGTATTCTACTCTCAAACTCTTGGCTTCATTCTGAAATGTAAAATGCGACATGTGAGTGCTAAAGGTCAAAATAAGTTTTGGTGTAATCTTTGGATGATGAGTCCAGTTTGAGAATATTCAATCAAAAACATAAATTGGACTAGAGTGCACCTATTGAGTATGTGGAGCCTAAACAATAGCCACAACTCTTAAATATATGGCATTTGTTGTGTGATGTAGCATCTCTTTGCCCCTGATAGTAAGTGGTCTATTGTATAAAAGTGTGTAATGCTTCTTGTTTAAATAGATTTTTGCAGAGGTGGTCATTAATTCAGGTGAGATAAAACAACAGAACAAAATTGTTTATTAGATCCTGACATTTCCTCTTAGTTTTCCTTGTGAAATACTGGACACGTTCACCTCCTTCAACCTCTGAGAATCTTTCAAATCAAACATTGTGAGGAAGAAAAACGACTCTTAAACTGGTGACAGCTCATGTCTTCACTAAGACCAGTGATAATGTGTCACATTGCTTAATTTTTCAGGATTCACAAGCTAAAAAAAAAAAAAACTTAAAAGTACCACCGTACAGCTCTTAATTCCTGTAAAAACAGAATAAGGCAGTTTGATTGGGGACAAAGCAAAAACCTACATTGAGACCAGTATTACCGTTTGTGTTTCAGAGGACTCGGTGGAGGTGAGTTTTGATGAGGACGCGTACTACGAGAGGTTGGGGACGAGGCCGGCGCTGGATACCGAGGCTCTGGGCGGCTCGTACAGGAGGATGGTGGAGCTCTTCTGTCTCTGCACAGAGGAAGACCCCAAGAAGAGACCCTCAGCCGCCCAGATCGTCCAGGCTTTAGAGAGCAACGCCCCGCTGGAGAAAACACCTGCTGAGGTGATTGTTATCGACTGATTTACACGGCTAATTCAGAATTTTCGTCAAAGATTTATATTGAGGGAATCCCCTGCCCGTGTTTTCCTATTTTCCAGTTTGTTTGGGAGATTTTTTGGTTCTAATTTAGAAAAAAAAAAAACTACAGCTGAGTGACAGGTGAAAGTGTCAGTTGATGGAGCACCAGAGGCTGGCTGTAATCTCTACTGTACATCTTTGTATGTTGTCTTTTCTCTCCTGTACTGTCCACTTTTGTTGTGTAAATGTTTTTGTTTGTTTTTTTTACTTTCATTTCTTGTCACTTTCTCTTGAAGTTTTTTCTAAATATCTTTCTACCTTCAATCTTTGGTAAAATTCTCTTGGTCAAACTTGAATTTTTGTCACTAAATTAGAGTAAAATCCCACAACCTGTGCTTTTGTTTTCTTTTTTTAATGTCTTGCAAATTCTATTTCACTGATGTATCTGTGGCTGTAGTATTTTAAGTGTTTCGTGGAGTTGTCAAAACAACCACCTACTCATTTGTTCTGGAGCTGTAGATCTTCAAACTTTCTGTTCTAAGCAGTGCTACATAATTTGATTAGTGACATTCCAGCAAACGTCATCTGCTGATGACTGTGATACAGTCGAAACAAGCAGGTTAGTGGATTTACCGTGGAAACTGAAATCTCCACTCAAAGGCCCACTAACCTGCTTGTTTCAACTGTATCACATGGTCTTCTTTAGCAGAGGACGTTTGCTTGTAAGCCAATAAAAATATGTAGCGCACTGGCAGAGCCTTGGAAGTTTACACAGCCGAACAAACATGATCTGAAATGGAGAATATGCTCTAATAGAAATGCTCCTGCAATAATTAGATACATTTTCAAGAATCAAGTCTAGGTTCATAAAACAAAGGCAACAGGTTTATTAAATCTATTTACAAAGCTGAATGCCAATAAAAACAACGGTGGTATCCACCTTTCAACAGGTCAGTGTCTATAAACATATTTTCCCTTCAAAGACGCCTGAAAACCTCGAATCAAGAAAAAAAAAAAAACAGAACTTTTGAATTAAAGTTTTAAAAGGAGGCTTCAGTTTTCTTTGATGCAAAAGACAACATGAATCAAAGCTAGCTATGTGTGTATATTCAGAAATGTGAAATATTATCTCTCCAGATTTAAGATCCTTAAGTAAAATATAAACATCTGAAAACACTGCCATTATACACACAACATTCAACAGTAAAATGGGCAGCACTGAGTATAAATACCAAGTCATAGGTGAAACAAACAAAAAAAAAAAAAAACACTAAGCCTACTGTATCCTGATTAGAACGCACAATAATTATGCAAGTGAAGCTTAGACACACTTTTCAGTACCAACTAACACCAACCTGAACATTACTGTTTTGCATATGAAAGACAATCCAACGGATCTGTTAATGTGCAGGATTTACATTACTGATTTAACAGGCTGAACTGTAGCGTTAATCCTTGTTTTAAATTCTTTCCAAACTTCATGCGATGAAGTTGTAAACTAGGAAGGCTGGTGTGTTGCTGTACTTGGTTGCAAACAGTTTGCCGTCAGGTGTCGGGTCAGAGAAGGCGATTTCCTCCTTGGTTAGATGACTGCCGTACATGAAGGTGCTCCTAAGACGAAAAGACAGAAACACCATCAACATGTTTGAAAGCAATCAGAAATCGGTGTGAGGCTTTGCTGTAGTCTTTTTAGCTGTATGATGCTCTTAACAGGAGGGGAAGAAGTCTGTAGGTATGCTTCGCTTTTACAAGATAAAGCTTCCAAAGTGAGGACTGAGCTCACTGCTAATGAAGAACTTTAAGGCAGAAACATTCTTTGAAAAGATCCTTTGAGTCTGATACACATAACGTTTTCTAATCTTTAACTGTGTTCTCACTGTTCCTCGTTTAAACTGAAAAGTAAAAATCCCCCCCCCAAAAAAAAGAAAAGTTGAGGCTGAAAACATGCTAATTTGTACAGACAAAACAGAAGACAGCAAGTGTCAGTGTGACGTTGTACCTGACGGTGTCCAGCATGCGGGTGGCGATGCCCTGCCGTCTGGCCAGGCTGAAGACCCAGATCCGACTGATCCCACACAGAGCTTGTTCTGGGACAGTGGAGCAGCACCAGGCTCTGTGTCGCTCCATGAAGTCGTCCTTGGTCATATCCTTGTGTCGATCTGGCTGCTCAAGGACTCTGTAAGCCTGTTAGGGACAAAAAAAAATAAATAAAATTTGTATCAGTAATAGACACTGAACAAACAAGATTAGGAACAACTATTAAGATCTTCAGCCCCACCTGTCGTATGGGTTCAGCGACGAGACATCCCACCACCAGTCGCTCCGTGTTGATGAACAGGTAGGTCTTGGCCTGTGTGGGTCTGCTCAGAGTCACCTGCTGGAAACCCAGCTCGTTGTCCGCTACACGACGCACATCCTCAGCCTGAAAGCAAACACACAAGCAGGGGAAGTGCATGGAAATCAATATTAAAGAACAAGCTATTTAAAAACAAAACACCTTCGCAATTCATGCATCACTTGTGTATCAAGTATAATCCACATGAAATGACACCCTCTCAAGTAAAACACATACTTATGTACAGTGATGGATTTGAATAGTTGACTTATATATTCTCACACGTTTTTTGTTGATTATTAGTGACAAACATACAAAACATGCAAACACACACAATAAGAAATAAGCTGGGGTACATCCAGCGTACAGACTCTCACCTTTTTGATGGCGTATTTTGGATCGTCTGGCATCACCAGGAGAATTTTCCCATCCCAGAACTCAGCCACCACCCGCTCCTTCTTCCAACCCTGGAAATACAACAGAGAGAAGAAGCTGCAGTTAGAAGCCAAAAACTCATAACAAACTCACCTCCCCATGAAACAAACTGATGCCAGCAGCCTTGGCAGAAGATCTCCGGAAAATACCAAACCACTTCAGATAGAAACAAGTCATCACAGCAGTACAGTGGCAAAAGGAAAAATGTTTTGGGGATGAAAACAAGTTGGGTTTTTTTCTAGTAAACTTACATTTGTTGGATAAAAGAATAAAGAGTAAACTATTAATTGTTCCACTGTTTTAGAGACTAAAAGGGCATTAAATAAGGTTTTCAAAACCTATTTCGAATTTTCTTTCATTAACATGTTCAACTCAGGTTGAACATTTGCTTTGTTATTCTATTTGAAGTTATGGTTCTCTGCACAATCAATTCAAACAAGTAGCACTATCAGATCTACATTAAATTGTGAATAACTTCATGAATTAAACGCGTCTGCCGCCTATACGAGCGAGTTCAGAGAGAAGGAAGGAGGAAAGTTTACCACAAATTTGATGGAGTCGAGAAAGCGCTGGTGGAACTGGGTGTGTTGGAAATTGTCCTCTGGATTGTCTGCGCTGTACACCATCCCACATGAGCTGCAGGTTGTTGCTCCAAACTGTTTCTGACCTGCATCCTGACGGTGAAGTACAGAGAAAAATACACTCAGCACACACATGAACATTAACCAACAAAATCCCAAACCTGGTGTGACTTACTAATTTCTACCTTCTCCTTGTACGATCTTACTTTTTGTATGTACTGTAGGTGGCATGAAAAAAAAAAGTTACAGTATTGTATCAGTATACTTAATATTGGACTGAAAAACGAACCAGCTTTAATACAAAATGACTGCATCTGCCTTTAAAAATGTCGTGTCCAACATGTTGGGCTCAAGTATGAACCAAAATATAACAATATAATGTAAAACATTAACATACGATAATGAGTTGGTCGCCATCCTGCTTCTCTTTCCTCCTGCGAGCACTTCGCTCTTTAGCTGAAGGAGGAGGAGTCTGCAGTGATTTGTGTGTTTTGGGGCCAGACGGGGTGCTGCTGGACACTGGAGGCCGCAGAGCAGCGTTCTTTAACCTGCAGGACAAACAACACGAGAGCATTAGTGTTACATACAAAACAAAACAAAAAAAAACATGGTATCGAAGGACATCAACATGGTAATCAAATCAAAACTGCAACCTGTGTCTGTTCATCATCCATATTTATAAACTTGTTACCGATTACTTAACTTAATCCTGATTCCATAAAAAGTAACAGTTGATTAGTGCCATCTGTGTGTGAGTGTTGTCATTAGTGCTCGTGTTTCTAACAGGCAAAACTCAATAGCTCATCCTCCTACTTTCTATTATCCTGGTGTTTTGTCTTTCCTGTTGGAGGATTGTTTCCATCAGCTTTTCCACCATCTGCTGCAGCCAAAGCTCTCAAAGCTTTAGCTCTGTACATGCTGGAAATACAGCAACTTCTTCTCATGTTGTGTCACACACAAATCTCTTTTTGTGCCGTGCTGAATTTTTGAATTAAAGCACTGATAATTGGAAAATACACCAAACCTCCACCAATTCACGGAGGGAATTCAAGAAAAAAATCTGATCGGTTCCTTTATTCCAAAGATGAGAAATGATTTAGTTACAGAAATCTTTGGAAATGTCACAAAACAACTGTTTTGGGAAACTGTTTGAAACAGAGCTGCATGGATTATAAAAATATGAATTTCCCCAAAGGTTTTGTTGTTGTTGTTGTTGCTGTCATTGTTTGTTGTTGCGAATCTTTTTCCAATAAAGATTTAAGTGGGAAAAAGTGTGGACTAAAAAGTCTCACCTCTTGGCGGCGGAGCCAAAGATGGGATACACTGCTGCAGATTCTGTGGAGATTAAAAAAACAAACATTTTAAAATGCATTTTAAATAAAACCTTACAGGAGCCTTTGAAACAGTCTCAGACGAAAGCAAGGAAGGTGTCAGAATTTTTTTAAGTGTTGGTGTGGGCTGATGTGTTGGGACTGTTTTACTGTGGATACCTTTGGGGGGGCTGGAGGCAGCGTTGGTTGGACTTATATCACTCAGGTCAAAGACAGGCTCAGAGCCCCCGTCTGCCAGAGAACCATCCTGGGAAAAGTTGAGTTTGATATTATGAGAAACGGCAGCAGAAATTCTAAAAATGTAGAAAATCAAGTTTTTTTTTTGTTTTTTTTTTTTAACACTGTTAAAAATCAATAACAAATTTCTGGTAATGATTAACAACTGCACTGAAGTTTTAAACATATCGACGGCCAGCAAAAGATCCGGTGCAAGAATGTCTGAATATGTGGATATAAACTACTGCTGTACCCGAGGAGTGGTGGATGAGGCTGCAGCTGCAGAGCTTGGTGATGGGGTCCTTGTCAGCACAACCATCAGCTGCTTGGTAATCCCATGTTTCTCTGCCAAGACTTTAGGTGAGCTGAGGGAAGAAGATGTTTGTTTATTATCTGGAACAATAGCAGCATTTGCACTTACATTAAAAGTTTAAAGAAAAAGAAAGAAAAATTAGCAATAATTTTTGTTTGCAAAAAGATATACAAAGAATATATACAAAATTGCACCCAAACCTTTACACTTGTCAAATTAAACTTTCAGAAATGTGTGGAAATGCAACAATTTCCTTTCAAATTGGGTGAAAAAATACAAACTGGGGGCAGCTAAACTTTTATATAATAGCAAATCACCTGAATGGCTGTGGAGTTTTAGGCTCTTCGTCAATACAGTCCATCCAGTCTGTCGGATCAAACTTTGCTCTCTGTTTGGTGCCCTGCTGCTTCTCTTCTGCCACGACTGGCTGGACAGCAGTCTGCAGGAAACGACCAGGAAAAGATCGTATCAAAAAAAAAAAAGAAAAAAAAACACACACATCTGGACAAATACCACAGTAAAAGCTCCAGAGTGAGCCAGTTTGCAATTTGCCACTTTGAGTTGTGCTTGTGTCTTCACTGCTGCCTCACAGATCTGGTAACAACTCTTTGTGTTATTTATACCTTGATTAAATAACAAATCTCCATCACAAATGAGGGACCAGTGCTTTTTTTGCTTGTTACCAACAAAGTGTAAACACATGAACACAGTGGTTCTACTCACCTCTTGAGGATGTTTATGTTGTTGGTTCATCACCAGAGCAGGCGGCTGCTGCGGCTGCGTAGTTTTCTCACTCTTCGTTTGTGGCAGCGCAGCTTTCTTTTTCTCCTGAACTGAAGCTGGCCTTGTCAAAGACTTTGGCGCAGATTTCTTGTACATGGACATAGGTTTTTTCCCTGTACCGAAGAAAGCAGCTCCAACAAATATCTTCGGTTTGGGCTTCCGGCTGCTGAAAGTGATGGTGATTGCCTTTTTGGACTCTGTTGGTTTGATGCTACTGGCGGGAGCAGCAGTTGTGGTAGGTGCTGGTTGAGCAGTGACACTGTTGAAGTAAATAATGCAACAATAAGAAAGCTAGATTAAAGATCGTGATAAAAAAAAAAATGTAAAAACCTTTGATGTCCAAAAAATGACTGGAAGTGGAAACAAACCTGCTGTTAGGTTTTGACAGCTTGATCGTCTTCGTGGATGTCGAAAAGCTTTTCATAACCATCTTCCTCGCATTACTAGATCCTGCAGACACCTTTCTCGGCTTTCTGCCTCCTTTTAAATTCTTCTTGTTCTTCCTTTCTGGATTTTTTGCCTGGGAGGGAGGTGATGGAAGAGGAGGAGGGGAAGGCAGAGACTCCTTTATCGCCTTCCTCTCTAGCGGAGTGAGATAGATTGGCTTGTTCTTGCCATAGAAGGAGCTTGTAACGACGGTGGGTTTACGAGGCGATTTGGCCGGAGAGACTAGAAAAAAAGGAATATAGATAGATACAGATGGTGAAAGCAAGTACGGGTGTGGGGGAAAATTATCATTTGCAGTATGTCTCTGTAACTGTTGAGGTTTAATAACACTTCCTGTCCAGAATCCATCTTTCTCAAACGTCAGAGAACCACATCATCTGAACGGCAAGCTTGCCTTTCACCAGTCCACCCTACCTGCTGGTCTACGTGGGGATTTCTGCGGTGAAGGACAGTTCTCCTTGTCCAGACGCCCAGCAGGCTTCTTTTTGGTTGGAGACTGATGGGGATTTCTCTGGGACCTCCTCTTCAGGGGGGACATCTCCTTTCTCTCCCCCTTCTTGGCTGGGTGACTGGTGTTTGAGTAACATGTATGAGTATGAGAAATAGCGCCATAGATCCAACACAACTTTTATTAGATTTTACCAGATGAAAACCTCTTGTTAGATTTGAAAATATGTAACATGGAACTGTATTAATCTCATGGGGACACACAGTATATTAATAAGTTCAATTGTTTGTCAGCAAAGCTTAATATTTTTTGAATTTTTTACATACTAGTGTCTAAATTTGGTGAACTTAAATCAGGAACTCTAAGGATTCACTACTTGATAGTTTTCCATAATTTTTCCTATGGACACATTTCTATCTGTGACAAAATCTGTACGAATAGAAATTTGTTGTATCTGAGTGTATAGTACATTTTGAGAGTAAATAAGGAAGTCAGCCATTTTAAGTATGTTCTAACAAACCTGTCAGAGTCCAGAGAGGCGAGCTTTCTCTTCCGTGTAGTGGTGGGCATCATTTTCACAAACCTACACACAGAACATTATCAGGTCTGCTGGGTGAGCATAAAAGACAAGGCAACTTGAAGCATTTCAGTTTGAAGTATTACTCTTCTGCTCAGGGGCTGCTCCCTCTTGTTAACGTACAAGCAGCAATGTTTTCAACCATCTGAAAACGGAGGAAAATGTTTATCCTCTAACATATTTCTAATGTCACAATTTACTGCAATATTGGTTGTAAGAAAACTTGAAATTTGCCTCTATTTGCATCTCTCTACTGGATGGTAAATTGAAGGCAAAACATTTACCAAATACAGATTTTAAATGATCAATATGCTTGTTGCCAGGACGGAAGGAAGGAAGGAAGTATTCATTTCTGAGTGCTAGTGTTTTATTTCCATTTCCTCTTATGAAAGTGAGATCTAATGCTTTTGTAACAATTACAGCCGCAGTAAGCAGTGCCACAAGACCTTTTATGGATGTCACAAAAGGTCACAGACCTAAATGCATCTTTAAGTCATTTTGTTTTTTTTGGTGATGATTTATCAGCAATAGTTTGGCGTGAATGTCTTAGTGACAGAGTGAATGGAGCGTGTGGAGGCCAAACTCGAAAATAATACCTCCAGACCTTTATATCTGCAAGGTGACTGATGGACTCACAAATTAACGTCATGACTGAAATGACTGAAACATCCAATTTAATCTTCCATGGGCAAAAATGTGAATTTACTCGACATGAATGTCAGCTTAGGTTAGCTTAGCGCTTATTTAAGAGCAAAAGTGGCGAAGAATGGGTAATTGGCGGGATGAAGAACCTTATGCAAAGGCGTCTTTTTTCTCCAATACAAATTAGCTGAGGTGCCGATATCAATTAATAGATGCCTAAACATAAAATAAGACCGGCATTTTTTTCTGAGTAGTGATATTTGTTTGTTTTATAGTTCGTAAATAGACCTTTCTTCATTTAACGTTACGTTGAATACGACATTCGGGAGAGAAACAAGTAAAGTATCAAACACACACAACCGTAAAACACATATCAGTTTTCTTACCGAACACGTTTCTGTCGCGCTACATAAAGCGATAAATACTGATATAAAGTGTAGAGTAGTTTGTGGCGGTTCTCCTGCTTCTCCTGCCCGCGTTTCTTCTGTGTGTTTTGAATAACCCGCGCCAGCCTTCCGGAAACGGAAATTCCGGAAACGTAATTGAGTTACCACAGTAAAAGCGTAGCGGACCTTCTGGTCCTAGCCTTCAAAATAAAAGATCATTGTTTCATAAATGGCGATTTATCAGTCTTTTCATTCTTTACACTCTACACTCATTTTCAAATCAATTTGCTATTTCCCAGTTTTCTATTGCTGTAAAACTCAACATGGCTGGGTTTTGATTAACTTGACAGACAAAAAAAATTTTTGAATATGTTAACTTGGGTTTCAGTGAATAATGATGGGCATTTTCACAATTTCTACAAGAGCCAGAGCCCCAATTGGATGGTGGGGGGCTCATCATAGTTGATACTGTACATCAGTGGCGCAGATTTCAAACTAATTAGTGATTAATCAAATTATATAGATAGAAACTACATACAGAGTAAACCCCTGAAAGTATGACTCTGGACAGTGTCAAATGTATTGAATGGCAAGCTTTTATTTTGAAGACAGACTCATGTACTTCCTGGGTCAACGCGTACATGCGAAAAGTGACAGACAGAGTCTGCTGACAGTAACAACGATCTGTCCGCTCGGAGCTGATCACATTAAGTTGTGTTCCTAATTATCGTGTTACCTTTCAAACTTCACTCTATTCATCTTTTAGTGGGGAGTTTTAATTCACGTAAAATGGTGTTTTACTTCACAAGTGCCGGTGAGTGGAGTCAAAGCAGCACTGTTAGCTTGTAGCCTGGCTAGCCAGTTACCTTTAAAGCTGTATGTTTTAGTTCTCATTTGACGCGATTTTTGTCTGTGTGTTTTCTGTGTTTTGTACCAACTAATATTACTGTTTCGCTCAATTATTCCTCTTCTGTCAGTGGTGGAGCCTCCCTACACAATCTACATGGGAAAGGACAAGTATGAAAGTAAGATTGTTAGCGTTATATTACAGATCCACTTCACGCTGTATGCTTTTATTATAATCAGTGACTTGTGCTCTGATCATTATATTATTTTGGCGAGTCAATGTGTATTCACATAGCCACAAATTATGCCACATTAACTTTAACTCAAGGTTGTTTTTGTCATCAGATGAGGATCTTATCAAGTACGGATGGCCTGAAGACATCTGGTGAGATTACACATTCGTGTCTTATCTGAACGTTTCTTTTCAATTAGAGGTTTGTGCAGCAAAGTGACTCAAATACACAATAAAGTCTGTGGCTGAACGGTCCCAAAGAGTGTTTACAGGTATAGTTTGGGAATTATCTGTAAACCTGGCACTGTGTGGCATTACAATTCAGTTTCAGGCAATAAGAGGTTTGTTATAAAATAAAATAATAATATAACAATATTAAAGTGGACACAGTCTGCCCTGTCACAGTCACCCATCATCACTTCAATAGTTAAATCCTGTTCATCATTGTGCTTTATGCTTTATCACTAATGACAAATTGTGTGCTCATCATTGTTCTTTGTACCGCAACTGACGCCTTTTTTTCCCTCAATCTGCAGGTTTCATGTGGACAAACTGTCCTCGGCTCACGTTTACTTGAGGTTGCCAAAGGTACGGAGCCAACACAGTGAATGACAATGAACCTCAAATACTAAGATTTGAACACATTCAGGTTTTGATACCTGACAACAATATAAGTGGCACATCCTATAATTTACATTTCATCTTATTTAATCTTTGATCTTTGACCACTTTACATATAACCTAATGCAAAACACTGTAGTGGGGAAAGAATGCAAGGGAGGTGACCACAATACTCAAGCTGATGGTGTGTTTTGTGCTTGAACCTCTTTTCTATAGAGTTAATGGCTTGAACAGTGTAGACATTTCCCTGAGCTGCCTTCAGGATGTGCTGCTGCTGCTTTCAACTGGGAATGTAATAACGGCTCACACTATCTACAGCACTTCTTCTTTGCCTGTGAAATTATACTAGAGTTGAAACAGTCAGTCAGTTAGTCAATCCACAGAGTAATAATCAGCTATTGAGACATTAGCTAATCATTGAAGTAATTCTTAAGGCAAACACGTTAAATCTTCTTTTGTTCCTGCCTCTGATTTGTGAGGATTTTGCTGCTTTTCTTTGTCTAATGTGACAGAAACTGAATATCCACCGGGGGGGTTGGACAAAACGAACAATTCAGCAGTTTATCTAGAAAATAATCAGCAGATGAAATGATATTGAATATAGTTGTTAGGTGCAGCCCGGCTTCACAGGCCCATAACAGACACAACAACTGCGGTCATGGTCGGTTTGAATGTTTTGAATGAGGAGGTTGATTGAAGGATGTACATTGTCATCTGCTTGTGTTGTGTGTGGTAACTGTCCATTATCCCTCAACCACACACACTCAGGCGCTGTTGATTGCTCTGTGTGTGTGTTTTCAAGGGTCATGCCATAGATGATATTCCCCCAGAGGTGCTGATAGACTGTGCGCAGCTAGTGAAAAACAACAGCATCCAAGGTAAAGATCTGCCTTCTGAAACACAAACACTGAATCTGAGAACAAGCCACAGCTGATCAAAGTGCATTAGATCTGCTGAGTGTTTTTACTCTGAAACCTGTGTGTTGTGTGCGGCCAGGTTGTAAGATGAACAACATCAACGTGGTTTACACACCGTGGGCCAACCTGAAGAAAACCGGAGACATGGATGTAGGACAGATCGGCTTCCATCGACAGAAAGAGGCGAGTAAACCAGCACTGAAATAAAAAACACTCAACTGTTAGACAGTGTAATAAGGATGTAACAGACTTTTATCGAGCTAAATGAAGGTGTCATGTTTAAAGAAATGCATTATCTCACTCTGATTTTCATATTTGCATAAATGAATGGGAGCGATCGGCCTCATCTGGAAAATAAAACAATAGAATCTCAGTACAAGTTTTAAAACATATTTGCTGCACATTGTCCTCACTCTACTTCATGTATTCCACATCACAAGTGTTTTATTTATCCTCTGCTAGCAGTTTTAAGCCTTTGATGCCTGTGCTGTGTCTCACAGGTGAAGATCGTGGCGGTGGAGAAGAAGATCAATGAGATCGTAAACCGTCTGGAGAAAACAAAAGTAGAACGCCTCCCCGACCTGGCGGCAGAGAAAGAGTTGAGAGACAGAGAGGAGAGGAACGAGAAGAAAGCTCAGCTCCAAGAACAGAAGAGGAGAGAGAAGGAAGAGCAGAAGAGGAAAAAAGAGATGGAGGATCTCAGGTACATTAATGAATGGTCAAAATGAGACACTGTAGGCTGGAGTGTTTTGGATTTCTTTTTTTCATTATGTATGATCCTACTTTTAAAAGATTGCACTGCATACACATGGTATTTCTTTTAATCCTACTGTATGTTTTGGTCTCCCTCTTCAGGAACTATACGTCACTGATGAAGGATGAAAATATGAAGACTAATGAGGTGAGGACGTCAACCAACCAAGAGAAATCATACTATTTGTCCAGTGCTATTTATTATGGAACATGATTCACAGAGAGGAAAAGTCAGGAAATCTAATAAATTCTCTATATGACTTATTTTTTACAGTTATAGTACTACAAAAAATAATAAACACATTGGAATTTTTCATTTGTTATCATCTAATAATCATAAAAAATAATTTATATGACACTGACGGGTCTTTTTCTGTTGATCAGAAACAACAGCACCACATTAAATTCCGTTTTCTGCAGTCTTATGATGATGTCCTTCACTGCATGTTGTTTGCAGGATGGCTACGATTCAGATGACTTCATGTAAGAGGTGAAGATGAGTCAGCAAGCAGACAGACTCCTCCTCCACCACTCAGATCTGCTGCCAGGACGCTCCCCTGCTGCTTTTGCTTGCTGTAACTCTGCACTGACATTGGTGAAAAAATGATACCTTGAACTTTTGGTCACTTGGAGCAGAATGCGAACCAGAGAGGGACAGCACCGGGACTTATTCCACATGCTGACTGGTTCAGACACTGCTTCCAAACCGAACCACGCTGGCTGACCTCTTCATCACAGGATAACGCTGTAGAGGAAGAACATGAGACGACAGGAATACTGAGGCTCATTTTGGGGAGAAACACTCAAATAGCTGAACATTGTTTGATTTGGTTTTCACTGCCAGTGCCGACTGATGTTGATGTATGATAAAACTGGTTTCTGTATAGGTGTTTTAATAACCCTACAAACCGTCTGCTCACTTTCTTCATGTGTTCATTTCTCTGCCTGTCAGATTTTATTGAATATGATTTGATGTATGAATTAAACTCACAGTTGGTAATTGGCATTGCTTGCACTTGTAATTTGCAATTAATCACAAACATTTATATTCTTCTGGAAAGCAACGTAAACCAGTCCCAGCCACTTACATCCATTTACAGAGCCATGGTGCACGAAGCCTCTGAAGTCCTGATAGATTATATTTTTTTCATCTTGTGTGCACAAATGTAAGACTGTAGTTACAGTAACAATTATTTTAACACAATGTCTGTCTTATTCACTAAAACACAAAGTGGCATCTTCACATTGCTTACTAACAGTCCAAATCCAAAGAAATTAAAACAAAGTAATACGTAAATTCCTTACTTTTGATAAGGGGCAACTATGAAATGTTAGGCATTTTGATAGAAAATGATTAGAGAAAAAGAAAATAACTGCCGATTAATTCCATGCCAATCAACTAATCGATTAATCAATTAACTGTTTCATCTCCATGATCTCAATGATCCTTTTATTATGGACATCTTGTGGGCACAAAAAAGAAATTTGTGTGCACAGAACAAAAAAATAAAATCTTTCCAGAATGGTTGTAGCTCTGTAATAGTGTCAGAAGAACCAAAACAGTCACTCCTGACCTTTGTAACTATAGTTTGACATAAAAAAAATCTTAACTTGAAGTCTTTCTAAAAGCTCTTAAGGGCTTTTAAACACGTCTCACAGTTTATTGAAAGTCCTGTCAAAAGCAAAAATGGACCTGTGGTAGCAGTTGTACAACAGATGAGAAATATTACAGCAGCATCAGTTTAGACCTGTGTAGTTACACCACCAACGACAACCTCCAATATTATCATAGAGTTGAATTAACACTGCTCTGACATTTATTTATTTATTTATTGCTTTATAACAATAAATAAATAAGTATGTAGTCTTCCCTGAACACACACTGCATCAGACATGCTGTGTCCTGGGCCAGTGTTTCTGGAGGTATTTTGTTTAATCTTCCAATACTTGACTTATTCTGTTATATATCTTATAAGTACACTACTGTAATTATGACCATTGGCATCGCTCCATCTGAGGACATATTTGACATTGATGTAACTTGCCCTTTGGGGCACAGGTTCTCTTTGCCATGTTGAAATATGACGGTAACAGTTGTTGCTCCTTGATGTTCCACGTTACACGTTTTAGCATGGTAGAGTGCTGTAGATGTGTTATCGTTGAGGAGAAAGAAGAAATATTTGGAGGATGCGGGCATCGATCCCGCTACCTCTCGCATGCTAAGCGAGCGCTCTACCATTTGAGCTAATCCCCCTGATTGGGAAACCATTCGAACGCATGAAGTCAAAGTCTTCAGTTATTTTGCTTTCACTGCTTTGTGTCAATGTATAGATCAAACCTCTCAGTGCTTTTCGATGTCTTGTGCTCATCATTTTACACACACAGAGTTTTGAGACAAACTTTCCGAGAGTCTGAACGAAAATCGACTTGATGAGGAATCGACGTGATCACCTGCTGACGACTTATTTCGGCTTTTCAAAGCACTACGTGGTTAAAGATTGTATGAATCGAAGTAACAGGACCCTGATCAAGATCTTTGACAGTATGGCTTTTGGTTTTGCTAGTTGTTTTTGTTTAGACATGACGTATTGCAATTTTAGGCCCGGATGGTGTGCGTCCGAGGCTGTTGAAGGACTGTGCAGCCCAGCTGGCTGAGCCTCTCCAGAGGCTCTTTAACTGAAGCCTTCAAACAGGGAGGGTCCCGGTCCTGTGGAAAACATCCTGTCTTGTTCCGGTCCCTAAAGTAGGACGACCGGCTGAGATAAATGACTACAGACCTGTGGCCCTCACATCATACATCATGAAGACCCTGGAGCGGCTGCTTCTCCACCTTCTGAGGCCACAGATTGAACATGCACTAGACCCCCTACAGTTCACCTACAAAGAACATATTGGAGTGGATGATGGCCGTCCTTTACATGCTCCACCGGCCCATTCTTACTTGGATGAGCCAGGTGGTTACATGAGGATTATGTTCTTTGATTTCTCAAGTGCATTTAACACCATCCAACCCCCCATTCTTAAAGACAAGCTGGAAGGGATGGGGGTGGATCCCTGCTTCATGTCCTGGATTGTGGATTACCTGACAAGACGACCACAGTATGTCAGGCTGGGGAACTGTGTCTCAGGGACAGTGATGAGTAGGCACTGGGGCTCCACAGGGAACTGTTCTGGCTCCGTTCCTGTTCACTATGTATACGGCTGACTTTAAATACAACTCTGAGTCCTGCCACATCCAGAAATACTCCGATGACACAGCTATTGTATATTTTTTCCTCAGAAGGCTCAGGTCCTTTGACATCTGCAGTGAAATGCTGAATGTTTTATCAGTCAGTGGTGGCCAGTGTACTTTTTTAATGCTGCAGCAGCATGTCTGACATGAACACAAGGAGACTGGACAAGCTGATCAAAAAGGTTAGGTCTGTGCTTGGCAGGAGTCTGGACTCACTCAAGACTGTTGCGGAAAGACGCATGCAATGTAAGATGGAGGCCATCTTGGACAATACCAACCATCCTCTCCACAACATTCTGGCAGAACAGAGAAGCAGCTACAGGTGCAGCAATGTCTCATCTCACTGCGCTGCAGAACAGAGAGGTTCAGGAGATCCTTTGTTCCCACTGCCATCAGGCTAAACAACACCTCAGCCACAGGAAGTGGACTAATCTAATTATAATTGTTTATCATTATTAACTGTTATTATTATAATCAACAATGAGCTAATGGACACATGAATTTCCCCTAGGGGATAAGTAAAGTATCTACCTATCTATCTAATTTGTAGAGCTTTTGTCAGTGAAGTGATAATCAAACAGAGTTGTTATTGAGTTCAAGTGAATCAATTTATTACTTTTTTTTTAAGTCTTCATCAACACTAATGCATCAGGAAATAACGTGACTTAGTTCTATGTCAACAGTTCTGTATTCCATTAAAATATTGATTGAATAAGTGACAACTGAAAAGGTAAAATGCACTTTTTAATTTAACCCCCCATATTAAGAGGTCATGAGTGCAAATGGTGAACTAATACAGCAGAAAAACATACTCTGGAAATATAGACTTGCAAAAAAAGCCAATGGCTTGTTTTCAGCAGTTAGGCTACTGAAGTTATATAGTTCAAATTACTTTGAGCCACTGGGAGAAATGCATTACCTCACTAACCCCATAATCTACAGTAGCTGTGTAGTGTACCTTCTAACTGGTCTCATTTAGATTTTAAATTGGACATAAAGTTTAAGATATGAAATACTCATTTTGATGTTAGAAATTACACAAACATGTTATGGCCTCACAGCATCAGAGCCCCATTCATTGTTATAGAGCAAACTGGAATGATATCGCACATTGTAAGGTTCTCCCTTTGGTTTCTACCTTTAGAGGAGAGTGTTGCATGTTCACAAACATTCACCAGTCTGTTCTGGGGCACAGGAATAAGAAATGTGAATTCTTGATGGATTGGATTCTCCTTTAAATGCACAATTCATGATTATGATGTAGTGTTCCACCCTCAAAGCAGAGTAACCAAGAACATTAGAGCAGATCAGACTCCAAAACTAATCATTACTTCCAAATAAACAGTAAACAAGCAAACTTTCCTTTCCTTCTGATTCCTCTGTAACTCACGGATATATGAACTACTCCTCTCCAATCAACCTCCCAGTAACAGCGACCAGTCAGACCATTTCTACACAACATCTGAGGTAATTCGTCAAATCTGTCTGGATGATGAGGATATGACTGACCCTCCTCCACCCATGTCACAGTCCTCTTGTTGTCAGACAGTTTGAGGTTTCTGTTTACTGTGTTTGTGTAAAACGGTAATAAAACTGGCTCATCATCTTCCACTGCAGCACAAAGAAGCTCTGAACTATCTGCTTTCTAAAACTGTCATTACCTCTAAAGTGTCATGTTTTAACATAAGGCTGGACCCAAAATGCAGCGAACACAAGGGAAACGGTGAAAAATGTTTATTAAACAGAAGAACTTACAAAACTTCTCCCTCGTCTGTCCTGGTGTCTGTGTGTGTTTGATCTGAGGACAAGTCACACCCTCATAACTTCAAAGTCCAAGTCTAAAAACCATCAGTGACATCAAAACTAGTCTAACCTGTGACAGAAGCCCAGTCTGTGCCATGTGCAAATCACAAACCAGGTGATGTAGTTCTAGTATTTGTCCACTAGATGGTGCAAACTAAACATCTAATGCGCTGAGTATCAGCTCAGCTCAGGAGAGGAAGCTGTAAATGAGGTGCAACAATGTGGATGTATAAATCTCATTGATGAAACTCAATACAACAAACATTAAACAGCATTGGCAGACTAATGACTTGCAGTTGGAGGTCATTCCAACAGGGGAACTATTCCAATAACACAAAGCCCCATGGATGCGACCACTAAACACACAACAAGAAGCATAACTGAATAAAGTTATTCTGTGTGCACGAGAGCCAACAAAAAACAACCCAGACACAATCGTTAGCCGATGCTAGCATCGCCAGCTAGCAATAACTGCATTTGCCTGACAAATTCATAATATGGGTAGACGCAAGTTAGCTAACATTATCATACCCTCTGTAGCCGGTCACTAATGAAAACAGGCATCAGGCATGGTTGAACATCATGTTGTACAAACTAGTTCTTTTCTACAATAACCTGAGTCTTACTGTCAGTTAGAGCTTACATCTGATCAGCTGATGGATGTTGTCCTTTAAAGTTAATGATAACATCCTCCCAGGAGAGTCTGATCTCTGCTGCTGGATCCTGAAACAAAAACACAACTGATAAATGTCTATGGTGGATAAAACCTGATGGAAAAAAAGGTTCAATCTTTTAATTTACACAGCAATTAACTTTTTGTGTGAAATGTCTTTCTGACAGTTTTAAATTCTGACCTTCCATCAACAGATTGTCTAATAGGATGACCCATGAACCAGTCGCTCTTCATGGACACACAACTGGATCTGGATCCAGGTCCAGGTCCAGCAGACTGTGGCTTGTGCTGCTGCTCTGGCCTTCAACACAATACATACAAAGCTTTGAGTGTGAAAAATGATGATGTAATCATGTGAGAACAAACCAAGGAGATTACATGTACTACTTAACAACAAAATAAAGGTGACTTGAGAAAATATAATGAAATAAACTCACTCAACGCACTCAGGAACAAAGGTGAAATGACAGAGGGAACCAGCTCATCTGAAGGGCAAACAGAGGATGAGCTCAGGACACAGAACTAAGAACACTCAAGACACCTGTGTGAGGTGCCGTTAACACACCTGTTCTCCTGCTGCTCTTCAGCCCAGCAAAGTAAAGACAATTCGAAAGAAAATGCAGTAATGATTTATGATTTACAACTGCTACATTAAGCAATTAAGCCTATTGAAAGCAAACAATACAATTCTGAAGCCACGCATAGAGAGAGAGAGTTTATCAAATGGTGAAATCAGGCGCCTATAAAGCATTGCCTCACTCACTCTCCAGGTCACGGGTCAAAGGGTTGAATTTCTAGTTGATTCGGGGGCAACAGAATGTGTGTTAATGGAAAAAGCACTCACTGTCAAACCAAAAACAAGTGGTAGATACATGAAAACAGTGGGAGCAGGGAGATTCCCCATAACACAGCAGTATACTAAAGACCTAAATTGTGAAGATGAAAATTTTGACTCGTTCGTAAATACATTTTTGCTGTCACCATTCTGCACCATAAATCTGTTGGGCAGAGACTTGATGTGTAGAAGTAGGCACTGTAGTCATAATAGTGATTATAAAAATAACCAGAGTTGGAAATATCCTCCAAATGGTAAAACATAGTTTCAGCCCACTTCTGTACGCATATGAGTGGAAACTATTGTGAACTGCATTGTATCCTTTCAAAAATGTTCATCTTGTCTCTACTGCACTTATTTATGCTTTTTTCTTATCGATAGACAAGTGCTTTAAAGAGTTTTTTATTTTGACATGTTTCGACTGTTGTCTTTCTGCAGTCTTCCTCGGAAGAGTCATGTGATGTTGCTGTGACATGTCTTATCAGCTGTTGTTTAGACAGACGTGGATGACCACGCCCCCTGCTGTTCAGCCGCTCCTTCAGAACAGCATCCCAGGTGTGGGACAACATGTATGTTTTGCAGGGGTCTGAGGAACAGGAGAACCTAAAATCAACCATATCAGACCACTGCAAAAGGGAAAATCACATCATGAACTGGGAAAAGGCCAAGGTCATTCGATCATAACATGTATGCCCCCTCGTCCCGGTTCACTGTCCTTTGGGCCCGTTTTTGGATCTCAATGGCCTCCCTAATCCAACAGTGGTGCTTGTTGCTCTCTGATCGAATTGACAGGATGACCACGCCTGTAAAAACAATAGCTGATAAGACACGTCACAGCAACATCACGTGACTCTTCTGAGGAAGACTGCAGGAAGACAGCAGTCAACATGTCAAGGTAAAAAACACTTTAAAGCACTTGTCTATCAATAAGAAAAATGCATTGTATCCTGCCTGTGACATATTGATACAATTTGCTAAAATACACACACACACACGCACACACACACACACACACCAGATCACATGACCACAGACAGCCTACACTGCTACAGTCATGTATCAGAGGGACAGGATGAAAAGTATGAATAGAAATGATCCAGGGAGAGTAGAAAAGAGGAAATGATACAGCTAAAACACCTTTATTGGACGAATGAAAGATGTGAGTTTCTTCTTAAATAATTGACAACCAACTGGAGAGCAAGGAGGAAATGATTCTGTGTGATTATCAGAGCAGAAAGAACAG